TGAAACCCGATCGTATATGCATAGAAAGCAGTAAGCTTTAGAGAAGGTTTGCAGTAAAGATAATATGCTCAAAGTAAATGCAAACCGAGATTTAGAGTGGTTCGGTCAATCTTGACCTACTCCACTTTTGGCTTCCTCCACCGACGAGGTTACCAACGTCAACTAGAGGCCTTCCTTCAATAGGCCAAGGCCAACTACCCTTTTATGGTTTCACTCCTTTTGACGGGCTTAGAAGACAACCCTTACAGAATTTTCTCTCCTCTCTTTACAACTCAGAACTTGGAAGAACAGAGGGAGAAGAACTTTTGGCCTTTACAACAATTTTGAGCTCTAAGAATCACAGAAAAAGATCAAGATTTTGGTGTAAGTTCATGCTCTTTCAATGCTGAATGGGTGGGGTATTTATAGGCCCCAACCCAGTTCAAATTTGGAGCTCAAAACTGTCAATTCCCGGAATTCCGGGATCAGGCGGTTGCACCTCCTAACTGAGGCGGTTGCACCGCCTGGCAAAGCTCGAAAACTGAGCCTCTGGGCGGTGCCACCTCTGTCAGGGGCGGTTGCACCTCCTGCTAGAGCTAGAAGACCGAGCTCAGGCGGTTGCACCTCCTGACTGAGGCGGTTGCACCGCCTGACAGAGCTCGAAGACCAAGCTCAGGCGGTGCCACCTCCTGTTAGGGGAGGTTGCACCGCCCAGTCTCGCTCGGAGACTGAGCCCAGGCGGTGCCACTGTCTGGCTGGAGCGGTTGCACCTCCCAGTCTCGCTCGGAGACTGAGCCCAAGCGGTGCAACCTCCTGCGTTGGGCGGTTCAACCGCCTAGCAGAAATCAGGGTCCGAATGGGTTGATCCATTCGGCCCAATTTGGGTTTTTCAGGGGCCCAATTGCTCCAAGATTAAGTTAATGGGATTACCTCCCATTTCCAACTTAATCATTGTGCTAACTATGATTTTTCCTAAGACATTTACTGCAACTTGCTCCGGTGCGTCAATCGCTTCTTCCGACAAGCTTCCAGCGAACTTCCGTCGATCATCCGATGAACCCTCGGTGATGCTTCTGTGGACTTCCGGCAAACTCCTGGACTTGCAACGATTCACTTGGCGAGTTCTGACGAGCTTCTTTGGTAAGCTTATGGACTTCTCGGATTTGTTCCCTCAGAACCTCCGACGACTGTCCGAACTTCCGTCGAACTCTCGAACTCCCAACGTGATCATTGTCTTGACTCCGGCGCAACTCCTGCTGCATGTCTTACTTTCATCGTAGTTAATCCTGCACACTTATCTCAACATATAGATTAGATAACAAATGACAATTGACTTCATCATCAAAATCCAAGATTCAACAAAAACACCAACATTGGTCAGTTGACAAGTTGATCCCTAAAGTGAACCCTAAAGCTACCCCTTAGGGCATACCTCGAGGCACCGGGCTAAGACCCACCTCGACCAACCTTTGCTCGGACATATTACGGATGGCTCTTGAGGCTGGGAGGATTTCTTTAAGCCTCCGGAGCTCTCGGCGCTCCCCATCATCTAGACCTGGGGCGGTGTTGTCTATCACGCACGCCGCCCATCGAAGCCCGAACCCCCAGTCCTCTGAGCAGCTGACGAAAAAGTACCCCTTCCATCCCTTATTACGGGAAGGAGCCCCACTCACTCGGAAGCCCGCCCGGGCGGACAGATAGTAGCCCCTAGACCCTTTGGAAAGCCGGAAACAAGAAAGGAAGAGGGATCGGGTCGGGGTGATGTTAGCATAGTAGCACTCCCCTAGGAACGCCACCAGATAGTGCCAAGAATTGGGTGCCATCTGGGACGGGGAGATACGCCACCATGAGATATACATGAGGTTATGATGGGGTGCAAGGGGAGGCGCAACCCGACCTCAAAAGCATCAAGGGTAAGGGCGAAACCCCTGGGAATCGGTTCATACGCCCGCTGGCCGGGCTCGGGAGCTTGGAGGGCGAACTCCTCCGGGATGCCGAAGAGGTCCCGGAGACGACTGAGCGACGACTCACTCACAATGGAGTTGAGGTCGTGCAGCCACATTAGGGCCTCAAGGGCCCGGGCCGCCTTTTCGTCAGAAGACGAGTTGGGGTTCGACACAACCGTTGTTTGCTCGTCTTTAGCCAGGAAAGAGGGTGAAGAGGAAGGGGAAGAAGACACCATCCTTACTGACCTTTTGGAAAAGAAGAAGAGCGATCGGCGAAACTTAAATGGTGGATTACGAAGCGGCAGAATAGAAACAAGTAAAGAGACATTCGAGGGGCTAGCCGCACACTATTTATAGACAAAATCCCGCCAAAAATAGCGACCCTTTCTCTTCTCAGGCACGTCGCATCGGGATGACACAAACATCATTCCACCAAAAATACAGCTTGACGGAGCGACCAACAGGCGCGTTACGTGTGGCAACAGTGAGCTTGAGCCGCCAGTCTTCTCGAAAACTGGCGATTCACGAAAAGGTTCGACCCCTGGACTTCCGAACAGACCGGAGGGTACTCCCACCCGCACCTCCCGTAACGCAGCGTAACAGATCCAATCGAAGTAGCTCCTTGGCCGCAGCCGCTTGAGTCGTGCTCTTCGGCCTCGTGTTGCCCGGAACCACGCATGCGCGGCCTGTTCGCCCGAGTTCAGCTCCTCGGCCGCAGCCGCCTGTGTCGTGCTCTTCGGCCTCGTGTTGCCCGGAACCACGCCTGCGCGGCCTGTTCGCCCGAGTTCAGCTCCTCGGCAACAGCCGCCTGTGTCGTGCTCTTCGGCCTCATGACGCCCGAAACCACGCCCGCACGGCCCGTTCGCCTGAGTTCAGCTCCTCGGCAGCAACCACCTGTGTAATGCTCTTCGGCCTCATGACGCCCGAAACCATGCCCGCACGGCCCGTTCGCCCGAGTTCAGCTCCTCGGCAGCAGCCACCTGTGTCGTGCTCTTCGGCCTCATGTCGTTCGAAACCACGCCTACACAACCTACTCGCCCGAGGGGGCCACCACCCCTACGGCCGAACCCAACCCGACCTGCGAGTCGTTCTTCGAGGTTCTTCGGCCATTCACTACCCAGCACCGTAATGGCTCACCCGACCTTCCTCGATTGCTAAGGACCACGAGTTCCACGCCCAGGGCGGCGTACCGGCCTTCGGCCGACGAAGAAAGTTCTTTAAAGCTGAAGCCATACCTCAGATCCCCCCTTACGGCAACTGAAGCATAGCTTCCTTTGGGGGGGGAGTATGATGAGGGTAATAATTACGATAAGACGTGTGTGACACCCGCTGACGCCCCGCGCCCCTGTTGGGCTGACACCGCATGATTGACACGGGTCATAACGCCAACCGAGGCCCATTAACGACCGCACAGGTTCGACTCCGCACACTACGCCAATAGCGATGTCAGACGTCATTAGAAGGTACGATCCTACCCCCTGCGGGCAAGCACATCAGGTAACGCCGAACTCCCCTATAAATACCCTAGCATTCTAAACAGGTAGGAGGGGGGACATCGACTAACTTAATCATCAGAGGGGTTGGGTCGAGCATCCTGACCCGACCTGTGTGCAGTGACGAAGGCGAGGCGCTTCTCTCCGGGCACGTTGGCAAGGAACCCCCTCCCGAAGAAATCGGCGACCCGTCATTCGAACCCGAACCAAGCCGCGTCGGTCCCGAGGCCACGGCTAAGAAGTTGTTTACACCAACAAAGGACCAAAACTCTCGTTTATATAGATGTTCTCAACATTTATTATCACCAACTTATAATGTTCAAGAATTAATTTAAATTTATAATGTTTGAACCATAATTAAGAATTTTAATGATAATAAATAAAATTTTAATAATAATGGTTATATTTAGAATGAAAAATTAAAATATTTAAATCATACTAAATGAAGAAATTGTTTATAATGAATGATGAACTTATTAAGAACGATTACATTATTATTAAATAAAATATTTAATAATAACAGTTATAGTTCCATCTTGAGATGATAGTTAGTCTCAATTAAGTTATCTCACTCCTCGGTTTGTATTGAGATGACTATGGTTCTTGCATCCATTTTTCCAAAGGTCAAATCTCCATTGAGTTTGATTTTCTCATCAACTCAAGTGTTTCTTCGTTTGGTATTATCTTTGGTCCATTTCCTACTTAATCTTATAATGTGTCCCTTAACACATCATTTCATGTAAAGATCTTATAATGGCTTTTTGCCACTTACTCTAGCTTTCACCTTCAAATACATCACTCAACATGTATGATCTACTATATATGAATATCCCACTAGACAATCAAGACTTATCCCTTTAGATACCTATCCAATTGGAATAACTTTCATTTTCGTATATTTTTATCTAAAAGTTTTAATGAATACTTAATAGCAAATACAACAAGTTCTAAACATTCAAATGACAAAGGGTCTAAGGGTCTAAGACAGTCATTTGTGGTGGCAATAGGTTTCTTGGTGATTGCAAGTCCCCTGCTATTGAGACATGCAGCCAAGTATGTATTTTCATTCTTATTGCAATTTATGGACAATTCCAATAGTTAAAAAAGATATTGCATAGTTGATGAAATGAATTTTTTGACATGTTTCTGCTAATATCTTTGGCTAAATTCCATCCGGGTTGGTAACTAAATAAATAATGGGAAGACTTTTTTGGTCAATCGATCATGCTATATATAGTTTAATGTTCTTCTTCTTTTCCTCTTGTTTTTATTGTTCAACAGACAAACAAGGAAACTGAAACTAAGCCCTAATCCGACCAGTTGAGCATTTGATTTTAATGATTTGACTTTGTACTTTCAGGATGTAGGAAGATTAATTGACATAAAATAATTGCTTAAACTCAAATGAGAAGAAGAAAATAATGTACTTTTTGCCAAACCTAGTGGAGTTGCAAGCATTTGTGGGATGGCACTGCCATCTTATTTGATGGCACGTCCACGAGAGAGCCATTGCACGTCTCTCTTACTATTTAAACGACGCCATGCATCATCATACAAGCAGCTTTCTCCTATATAACAGGCATCGACGTGCCCCAGCTCGATCAAAAAAGATGGCCGCAGCGCTCGCTGTCGCCACCGTCGCGCTACTGTGCCTCACCGTCGTCCCCAGCCACGCCGCGCTGCAGGTCGGCTTCTACAGTGGAAAGTGCAACGGCACCGACGTCGAGGCCACCATCAAAAGCATCGTCGCCGCCCGTTTCGCTCGGGACCGCTCCATCGTCCCCGCCCTCCTCCGCCTGCAGTTCCATGACTGCTTCGTCAGGGTACGCGCTGAATGAACCGATGCATGTGTACAGCATCAGAGACATTTACTGGGGTGTGTTCGTGTGTGTGTGTGTATAAAGGGATGCGACGCATCGATACTGTTGGATGGGAGTGGAACCGAGAAGACGGCACGCCCCAACCTAAGCGTGAGAGGGTACGACCTCATCGACCAGGCCAAGGCAGCACTGGAAAGCAAATGCGCCGGCGTTGTTTCCTGCGCTGATATCATCGTCGTCGCAACGAGGGATGCTGTCGTGCTGGTACGTGCGGTGCATGCATG